CATGCCCGCCATAAGCCTCTCTCTCTGTCTCTGTCTCTCTCTCGTGCCTTCTTCTCAGAGATCTCTCTGGTCCTTGGGCCGGCCCCTGGAGTCCTGGGCCACGACGGGTGGAGACATTTCTGCAGCCCCTTGGAACCATGTGTCCTCAGCAGCTGGCTCAGCCCTCCCCGGGCCTCCGGACAGATCAGAAGCAGGAGCGTCTCTCAGAGGCCGCGAGTGTGTGCTCAGTGCCAAACCACCATGGCTCCACCTTGCTCTCTGGACAGTCTCTCCACTAAGAGAGGAAAACCAGAGTGGAGGTGGGGGATCGCAGGCTCTTCCTGGAGAGGGCTGGGGGGCAAGCATCTTGGGCTTGGGGGGGGGCACAGGGTCCCCCCCACTCCCCGCTCAGTTCCGCCCTTGGGAGTGCCCCTGATACGTAGTGAGCTGAGCGTGGCCACGTGCAAGTGAAACTTTATTTACAATCACGGGTAGCCGGACTAGGCCACGGGCCCCAGCGTGCTGACCTCCGGGTGCACGTGCTCCCCCCAGGGCTCCGAAAGGCACCCGGGAAGGTTTGTGATGGCCGAAGGTTGGGGAAAGCTATGCGTCCGTCAGCAGGAACGTGGGTCACTCCAGGCACCTTCCCGGGACGGAATATTAGATGGCGACAAAAAAGGGACGTGCGCGGGGCGCAGTCGGTTAAGCGTCTGACTTCAGCCGGGTCACGATCTCGCGGTCCGGGAGTTCGAGCCCCGCGTCAGGCTCTGGGCTGATGGCTCAGAGCCTGGAGCCTGTTTCCGGTTCTGTGTCTCCCTCTCTCTCTGCCCCTTCCCCGTTCATGCTCTGTCTCTCTCTGTCCCAAAAATAAATAAACGTTGAAAAAAAAATTAAAAAAAAAAAAAAGGGACGTGCGTGTGTAAGAGGACACCAGACCAGGACCCTTTGATGCTGTTGGTGTAAAATGTTGAAGCCGCACACACAACACTGCTGAAAAGTGTCCGGGTTTGTAAGGATGCATGTAAGAATGCTTTCTAAAGAACAAAAAGGATACAGGCTGGAGACGGTGACTCCAGGGAGACCGAGGTGGCTTGGAAGGAGGTTCACTTGTGTTTTACTGCCTCAAAACAAAGGCCCCTGGGGTAGAGGTCAAAGCCACGTGTGACCCCCGTGGGGTCCTCATGGAGGCTGCAGGATGCTTGTTGGATTTCACCTTCACCCAAATCATTTGCTGCCGCTGCCCAGGGCTAATGACACTTCACTTATCCACACCGAGGAGGCCCACAGAACAAAGTCACCTTCCCGACCATCCTCCGGGAGCCAGTGACCTCTCCAAATGCAAGCTGGGCCCCATCCCTCCTCTCCTCGGCCCACCTCCTCCCCACATTCCCCATCACGTTGGGAGTAAGAGGCAGAGGACCTGCTGATTCCCTGGAGGCCCCGCAGGACCCTCCCCGCCTCCCTCTCTCCCCATGGCTCACACTGCTCCTCCCACACACCAGGCACCATCCTGCCCCGGGGCCTTTGCACAGGCTGTGCCCGATGCCTGGACCACTGTCCCTAATTTCCACACGGCTTAATCCTTGTCATTCCGACTTTACTCAAGGGCCTAGTTTAGGGCCTCTCACCATCCAGTCCCCATCTATTCTTTCCTTAGTCACCCGTCTTCCCAGCAGACAGCGAGCCTCAGGGTGGCTGGGAGAGTGTCTCCCCTCCGTGTCTCCCCCAGCCCAGCGTGGCACCTGACACATGGCAGGTGGGCAGGTACTGGTTGACTCCACAGCCTAATGACACTAGTCCGCAGTGACGTGATCGGCAGTCACCTGGGGACGAAGAGGGCACTGAGAGGGGTGGCGACGGAGAGTGAGGGATCATTCCAGAGCACTCGTACGTTCACACGTGAGGGGGTGTCGACACCGCGTCTTCGTACCTCACACCACACACTTGACACCCAGCGCCTACAGAGCTGTCTAAAGAGAAACAAGGCTGAGCCTTGAACAACACGGTTTGAACCAAGTGGGTCCCCTTGCACGTGCACATTTTACAGCACAGCGCTGGGATCTGCTTCCTCTTCCTCGTGATCGTGATTAGAGTTAACTTTCTTTCCCCAGCTTACTTTGAGAATACAGCACATAAAACACATAACATACAGAGATCAGAGCAGGTAACACGAATAACACACAGAGACCAGAGCAGGTAACACGCAAAACATACAGAGATCACAGCAGGTAACATGCAAAACATACAGACATCACAGCAGGGAACACACATAACATACAGAGGTCAGAGCAGGTAACACGCAAAACATACAAAGATCACAGCACGTAACACGCATAACATACAGAGCTCAGAGCAGGGAACACATAACATACAGAGATCACAGCAGGGAACACGAATAACACACAGAGATCAGAGCAGGTAACACGAATAACACACAGAGATCAGATCAGGTAACACGAAAACATACAGAGATCACAGCAGGTAACACATAACTTACAGAGATCGCAGCAGGGAACACGGCTAACACATACACATCACAGCAGGGAACGCACGTAACACACACATCACAGCCGGGAACTCGTAACACACTAACTTGTGTTCATCGGCTGCTGGCATCATTGCTCAGGCTTCTGGTCGACTGGAGGCTATCAGTGGTCAAGCTCTGGGAAGTCAAAAGTTGTATGCAGAGTTTCGACAGTGTCCCTAACACCCATGTCAAGGGTCAACCGTATTTAAAACTTACGCGATTTTCAAAATGGGATTTCGTGTACACCACACACTCTAGGAAACAGGATGGAAAAAAGTCCAGCTACAGTGATTGGCGGCTTGTTTTCCTGGTTTCTTTTTTTAAAATTAATTATTCATTTATGTTGATTTTTTTTTTCAACGTTTATTTATTTTTGGGACAGAAAGAGACAGAGCATGAACGGGGGAGGGGCAGAGAGAGAGGGAGACACAGAATCGGAAACAGGCTCCAGG